CAGTGTGTCTTAGTGTCATCCCTTCTCCCATTTCTTCCCCATCTCTCTCAGCCCCACCCATCCCTTCAGGTTACCCTGGTTCCATTTTCACATGTGCACATTGAATAATATGACTGTGTTTGCCCACCCTTCCTTTCTCTGTTTGTTTGTCCCCGGCCTTCTCTTGGCCTCTCTCCACCCCCACCTGCTGACAACACATGTTCTAGCTTCCTGGTATTCATTTTGTTAAACTGAAGTTCTGTTGCATACAGTGAAGATTTTGTTTTTTAAGGATGAGCCTACCCAGTTGAGTCAAGGTAACTATGAGAGTGTCTCCAGGAAAGGAAAAGCATCTACTGGCACCAGAATGCTTGTCTCGTGACACTTGCAAATTTTCAGCCTAGGAGTATTCTCTGAGCTAAAGCAGAGTTGCTAATCCCCAAGCCTATTCTTTGTAAGGCATTGTGCCCAATGGTGACATGTCCTAGCAAGGTGAACTGGCAGAAGATCTTGTTTGCTTATAGAGGAATGACTTGGGATAATGGGAAAGAGAGCAAGGATCACAAATAAAAAAACTTGAGAGGCAGTGATCTCATCCTACCCTGCTGTCTGCAGACAGCGCTGAGCATAAATCATCCAGCCAAGTGGGGATCTTATCTGAGAGATCTCTTTGAGAAGATGGATTCCCTGGCCTCCTGCTTGAGGATTTCTCTATGGCTGACATAATGCGGCTCTTTGTATCTGACCTGCACTCTGCCTGCTACCATTTGTGTACCTTTTCTTTAATTATCATGGGAAATGGAGACCATCTGGCTACCACTCTTGGTATAATAGTCCTGTGTGGCATATCACTGTCACTTTTAATAACGTATTCTGCTTTCTCCCGTGTTCTTCTATGAAAGCCTTCAGAATAATAAATCACAGCCTACCTAGTTTACACTAGATGGCCCTCTTTCGTAGCTCATGTCCCACGGCTGTGGTTTCTTTCAAATCAAGAGTGAATAAGGAAGTTAAAGGGAGAATGCCAATATATGTGTTTGATTTAAACCAGCAAACCTTGTTCCTCTGAAAATTTAAGTGTCAAGAAATGGTGAAGGACTGCTCTGCTGAGACAGTGGGAAACATACTGGATTCTCACAAACTTCATTTGAGTCTGAGGTTGCTTTTGCGGGTCCCTGACAGCCTGACTAGCTTTTTTTTTTTTTTTAAGTGTTTCTGGCTATTCATATTAAACTTCATTTGTTTAGGAGAGTATTAAATAAAGGATTGTTAGGATTAGGTTACTGCTTGGGGAAATGGAGTGCTCAGAGGGTAGTGAGGGAGCAGGGATCTCCAAAACATTTTGCATTGAACATCAAATCCAAAGGAATTTCTAGAACCCTTTTCTTCAGTAGAAGGGCAAGCAAATCTTACCTAATAATGGGGCTGCTATTGTAAATAGAAACAGAAGCTAACATGTCAAGTGTCTTTATTATAATTCCACCATTGTCGTGTGCACATTGATTTATTCTAATCCTTATCATAACCCCATGAGGAGTTTCTATTTGCTCCATTATACAGTTGAAGATATTGAGGCCCAGAGACATTTAGTAACTTAACATACAGTACCTTAGCTAGGACATGACAGAGTATAAAAAAAAAATCTGTAAAACAAGACATTATTTATACAGTCTGATAGCTATGTTGTGCTCAGTTTAGTGCTTGATGTTTCTTTTCCAGATTTTTACCAAAAAATGAGCAGATATATCATCTTTGGTGTGTGTGTGTGCGCGTATGTGTATAACATCAACATCTGTAGACCCTGTGTCTTGCCACATTTAAATTGGCCCACCAAAACTGCTTCTGGATTTCTTTGTCCCCATCCAGAAAAAGTATAACTTATTTCCATCATCTGCCAGCCTAGACTGATAGTCTAGGCTCCTCGCTGAGCTCTGTTTGCCCAGTGGTCATTCTACAGTGTCCAGGCCCCTTCCATTTGCCACCAACCCACTTCCCACTGACATACTCAGTCTTTTTCACTTCTGAGTCTGTGTTTATCTCCGTCTGTGAGCACGAATTTCTTTGAAAATAAGTGTCCAAGTTCCACCTATAGCAATTTGCACTCCTTGGTTCTTGGAAGAAGCCCAGACACTGGTATGTCAGAAGCCCCTTTACTACTCTGTTGCAGCCAGGTGTGTGGCCCATAAAAGGCCTTTACTTAGGGTCAGCCTTTCTGGAAACCCAGGGTCTGGATGAGCATGTGTGTGTCTGTGCTGATGCTGCCGCCTGCACAGTGCATTGTGGGAGCAGTCTGGTGAGGGCCCCTTGGGATCAAGGCCCTCCCTTGGGCAGTAAGAGGATACTGTTGATCCTCAGGGACCGGCAGCTTTCAGCACCCAGCCCGGCGAGTGACCCAGCCTTCATCACTGCTCCACTGAACCTCCATAACTTCTGGTTTTCTTCCTATTGATCCCTTCTGGATCCCACTCTGACAAGTAGCAAGGCTGTTGTGGAGCCAGGTTTATTTAGAACAAAGATAGGATTATTGTTTAAAGAACCACCACTTCAGCTTCAGCTTGCTATGTTTAAGTAAAGAACGAGGTCTGATCTCATTTCAACTCCTCTTCCAAATTTAGACACACTACAAAATGTGGTTAAGTAATCGCTTCCTTCTCCTTCTCAGAGTCTTTGGCAAGAAGGTAGAGACCCCACTTCCTGCTCACTAACCCTGCTGCTTCAAGAACTGTCAGGGCTTGTCTTAAATAGAACCAAGGACATGTCTGCCTCCATTCCCCTCTGCCTTCCTTCTTGGCTGTCAGACAGCATTACTGCACAGCCCTTGAGTGAGGAGCCCTGACACGGGAAGGTGGCAGCTGGAGCCCTGTAACCAGCGACCTGTCATCATCTGTGGGCCCTGTGCCCATGGGGCTTGTTGGTGTGGTGCATGAACACACCAGGCACATAGCCTAAGTTTTCTCCCCTCAACCGAAGCTTAGGTGCTGACAGCACCCAACTTGCTCAGCATAATTGTGTTCCTCAGGTAGCCAGGCTGCCCTCTGCCTATACTTTTGGAACCCTTCCCCCCTCCTCCCCATCCAAGTAAAATCTAAATCCCAAGTGGTAGATCCCTTTCAGCTCAAGTACTCTGTAATTATAAGATATTAGGCTGCTGGGCTCTTTATTCACTGGGTCTTATGTTTGGCCTTTTTAATTTTGATCTGCTTGGTGGATATTAATTTTAATGAACCACTGGATTGAAAAGAGCACTGAGTTAAGGGGGGCAAACGGGAGGCAGAAGGAAGTAAAGACAGGCAAAGAATAATAGTCTGAAATTCAGCAACAAGCATAGCTTATGAAGATCAAGTTGTATTTCTGCTTCATGAATCATTGTCAGGCAAATTAAGAACATATTGTTTCTTATTTATCTATTGTCAAGGATTCAATATCAAGCACTGAGGATAAATCTTGATTTTCATAAGCTTTGTTGACACTGTGCAACCACAGAGCATAAAACTTGTGTCTAATCAGCCAAGTGCAATATGGAAGAGCGGAAATGGAACACCAGGGACTCGCACCGCTTCCTGCTTCTGGTCCTCATCTTCAGGAATCCTAGGACCCATTACACTGTTCTGGGAAAAGCTGTCACTTTTAGATGCATTATTCCCCAAATCCTGGGGATTCCCCTGTTGTTCTCAACCCCTTTCCCAGCCTTCTCCCCGGCCTCTCACTGAATGAGGTTACGCGGCTAAGCCACGCGTGTTCTTGGGCTTACTACCTGGGCCATGGTTCTTCGGTTTTCAGCAATGTTGAATGTTGCTGTTTGAATAGTTCTTCTGCATCTCTTGACTCTCTGAAATTCCTAATAGACATTTCAGTTTTGAATCCCTGAAGTTAAAATGTGGAAATTATACGTGAATTTGATGAAAGGATTTCACTGTCAAAACCAGAGCTTCAGGACATAGACTAAATCTTTAAAGTAATAATAAAAGTAAAAGTCTAAGTAAGTAATTTTAATCTTCTCAACAGTGCATAGTATAAGATCACTTTTCTAAGTCCTGTAACATCAGAATTAGAACCGGTGTCGTCCGACTTGGTGGCTATTTACATTTGACTTCTCTTCTCCCCTCCTGCCTGTTCTCCCTCTGTTCACTCTCCCTCTCTTCCTTCCTCCATAACTTCCTCCCTTCTTTTTGAGCCACACCTCCTGCCCAAGCTGTGAGTTTTCATAATGTTATAATGTATACTCTAGCCCAACTCTATGATACTAAGCAAGCAATTGAGCTCTTTAACTATGAGGTAAAATTCTGTTGTCGAAGCACAGGTAGTTATTAAGAAGATGCTAGAATTGGGCACTGATGACTTATATCTATCATTCTAGCACTGAAGATTGTGGTTCAAAACCAGCTGGGTAGGAAAGTCCATGAGACTCTTATCAACTATTAACCAGCAAAATATTGGAAGTGGAGCTGGCTCAAGTGATAGAGCACTAGACTTGAACAATAAAAAGTACAGGGACAGTGCCCAGCCCTGAGATCCAGTCCCAGGACTGCAACCCCCCCCCCCCCCCCAAAAAAAAAAAAAAAGATACTAGAAGCTGGTCTTAGTGGTTTAAGCCTGTAATCTTAGCTGCTTAAGAGGTAAGGATCAGGAATTTACAATTTGCAGTTCATGAGCCTTCATCTCACTCAACTAGTGGCTGGATGTGGTGGTGTGTGCTGTAGCACAGTGGCTGAGTACAGTGGTGTACACTTACCATCTCTAGCATCACAGAAGCACAAGTAGGATCTTAGACAATGCTAGTAACCTGAGCAAAAAGTGAGGCTGTACCTTAAAGTTACTAGTGCAAAAAGGGGCTGCAGGTGTGGCTCAGATGGTAAAGTGCCAGCTTAGCAAGCAAGAGAGTACTGTACTGAAAAAAAGAAATGCTAGAAACATGGGGTATACGTTAACCATCATCTCAGGGAGTTGCTGGAGGACACAGACAAGAGAGATCAAAAGTGAAATGATTTGTTTGTATGTGTACTCCAATTCCTTTTGACCAGTTGTTGCGAAGCTCTTTGGTGAATAACAGAACTCAAGCCAAAGTAGCAGAAGAGTTGGGCATGCAGGAGTACGCCATCACCAACGACAAAACCAAGCGGCCCGTGGCCCTGCGGACCAAGACATTGGCAGATCTTTTGGAATGTGAGTCCTGTAAAGCTTTCTCTTAGCTACAGGTACAGCGTTTGTTCTGAGGAGGGAAGGAGGGTAGATTGGCAGACAGGAGGGAGGGAGGACAAATGGGGAGGAGGATAGGAGGGAAGAAGGACCACAGAGGATCTGGAAAACCTTGCTACAACATTGTTTAAAAGTCCAATTCTTTTGCTCCTGTGACGTGTGATTTACTGTTCAATCTTGTTTTTCAGCATTTATTGCAGCACTGTACATTGATAAGGACTTGGAATATGTACATACCTTCATGAATGTCTGTTTCTTCCCGCGATTAAAAGTGAGTTCAGATAAAGTTTAAATGATGGTATATTTTATTTCTGGTTATTCCAGAAGCCATCACTAAATGTTTTTGGGAATTTGCACAGGAGTTCATTCTGAACCAGGACTGGAATGACCCCAAATCCCAGCTGCAGCAGTGTTGCTTGACACTTAGGACTGAAGGGAAAGAGCCAGACATCCCCTTGTACAAGTAAGTGCTTGCTGCTTGCAGGCCTTGGGGCCGGTGTGTTTAGAGTTGGCCACCCATGATCCAGTGGGGTGGTTTCATGATATCATTGCTACTATGATACCAATACAGTATCATAAGAGCTAGGGTTGTGACTTCCCGACTGTCTGTCACACTGGACCCAATGCAGAAACTCTTTGGGCTCTCAGTGCTAGTTGTAAATAAGGGATGCCTCTCTATCATTTCTGCTTTCTCCCATCTATAAAATTCTCTGGGAACTACTGCCTGGTGGTCACCTAGATTTGCTAGCTCACATCTGTAATCACAGCTTTTCAGGGGGACCAGGATCAGGAGGATTGATGTGTGAGAATAGCCTGAGCACAAAGTTGAGGAGACTTCTGTATTAGGGTATGCAATCCTAGCTATGCATAGGCAGAGTTGAGGTACAAGGCTGGCCCAGTGACTCATACCTGTGAATCCTAACTACTCAGGAGACCAATATCAGGGATCACAGATCAGACCTAGCCAGGGCAGAAACATCCATGAGACTCCATCTCAAAATAACTAGCAAGAAGCCACTCTAGAAGTATGGCTCAACTGAACAAAAGCTAGACCCTGAGTTCAAATCCTGTTAAGAAAATGTTCCTGCCTGATTTAAACCCCAGTACCACCTGACAGGAAGGCATCCTAAGATTGCAAGATTAGCACGGGAACTTTTAAAGTTTTATCTTTTTATATCTTATAACCTTTGCTGGCGGTGTGTGGATGTTTGGTAGCAGTATTAGGTTGCCTTTCTGTGCTTTGCTTGGTGACTTTGTCTCTCTGTTGCCTGATGGATAGCTGTGGGTGATCACTATAAGAAGCGTGCTGGCTGGGTAACTCAGAGCTTCAGCTTTTTTCCCAAGGATTTATAGCAAAAGCTCCCTTCTGCTTTTGAATATAGGAAAAGTCATTCAAAAAGAATGGATCACTACACCACATAACTCAGGGAGTTGCTGGAGGACACAGACACAAGAGTCTGTGTTTTTTTTATAATTAGCATACATTATCCATAAAAGGGCTATTTCTTTGTGACATTTGTACAAATGTATACAATATATTCCAGCCAACCCCCTCTATTGCTCTCAACATTCTTCCTGCTTCTTAATATAATTGTAACAGATATCATTCTTGCTGACAATCTATTTCAACCATGTGCATCCTCTTTCACGTGTTTAGTCCAACCCCTTCCTGCTAGTAACAGCCCCCCAACAAAGCCTGCCTAACACCGGTTTCAACGGTGGGTTTGCTCTGAGGTCATGTGATTGATCACCTAATGGCACCAAGTTGAATGAGAAGTTGGTTTAAGGAAGAATTACCCTGTGAGCTATTTCAGCAGTACATGGATTACATCCCATGGTTTGGCTGATATGTAACTTAAGGGATGTATGAAAACCTCCGCAAACACATGGTTTCCAGCACCCACCGCGTGCAGCTCATTTCCTATGGAATGAGAGCCCTCTTTCGGGCTTTGCAAACTTGACACTCCCCAGTGAAGAACAAAACGGAAGTTGGGAATTTCGAATCTTTTTTCATGTTTCTGTTTAACAGTCACAGTACTTTTTGGGCTCCCCCCACCCCGCCTTGTGCTGAAAGCGAGACTGAGGCCCTTCCCCCAGCAAGCGGTCCAAGAAGCTGTCACCCCTGGAAGGACATTTCTTTTATGTATGAGGGATAGAGCACAAATGTTTAGGAATAGCGCTTTAATGTGTGACTAATAAGCGTAATGAATATCTGTCCTGTATTCTATGAAGGGCCCAGGTGTTTCCCCATCAAAGGGTACAAAATTTGGGTGACCCCTCCCGGCACAGTGCGATCCTGGGAGAGCTGCCACTGCGCATGCTCGCCCTGGATGGAGACTCCCGGGGAAGGACTGAAGTCCTCCTCCTGGAAGCCCTAGAAATCTGTTCTTGGTTATCATGATGGAGGGATTGCTTTACATCATTATTTTGTGTTCGTTCCATTACCTTTAAAAAAATTACTACTTTTAATTACCCCTTTACATGAAGTTACCAGTTTTGCTGGGTTTGAAATCTGCACCACATCAGTCAAATCTGGAGTACCTGGAACTTTGTTTTTTGGTGTGACTACTGTGAACCTAACATTGTAGCATACCTCCAAAATGATCCAAGGTATTTCAGAAAATAAATATGTATTCTGATCCATTAGGTAAGATAGCAGACTTTAGGGAGAATCCATAACGGACGTGAAACCACTCGGAAGAGATTTGAGTTGTATTACCCTAATGGTTTTTGTGGTTAACTGTGACTAATACTTTAGAAATATGAGTAGACGAGTAGCTTAGCTGGCTGGCTTGGCTGATGTTCTGCCAGTTGAGTCGCACCTCCATCCTTGTCTTTTACAGGTTAGTTTGGAGATGGAGTCTAGTCAACTTTTCCTGCCCAGTCGGCCTTCAGTCCTTCAGACCTCAGCCTCTTAAGTAGCTAGGATTACGGATAGGAGCCACTTGCACCCAGCTAGTTCTTTAACTTTTTCTCCGTAAAAGCTTTGTGATTTATACTTGGGATATACACACTGTACTTCACTATGAATCTTCAAGTGCTGTTCATATTACTTTGGGGGAAAAAAGACAAAAGTGATATGCAGAATTTTTTTAATTTCCTGCTTCAAAGCCCTGCATTTGTCAAGTTAGCAAATCAAAATCTTATCCACTTACTTGTCTGCCATTTTTCTCATTTCTTGTTTATTTTTACCTTCCTCTATCTAGGCAATAAACACAAGATTTTTGTCAGTTGTATAGCAGCAAAAGTAATTAAGCAACACTTCACCATAATTACTGTTCTTTCTCTTCCCTTCAGGACTCTGCAGACGGTGGGACCCTCCCATGCCAGAACATACACCGTGGCTGTTTACTTCAAGGGAGAGAGGATCGGCTGTGGGAAAGGACCAAGGTATGAGAAGAAAATACTTGAGTTTCATTGAATGAGCACCTGGGGACAGGAAAGTCCTGGGGGGAGGGGGGGAGGGTTCTAGACTGGAGTCTGTCTGTGCTAATTTAGAGTGCCGATTATTCGAATGTCATAGCAAAATGAATCTCTAGGACTATATCTGCACCAAACCAACTTCTAGGCTTTGTGATCAGCCCTGGAAAGGGTAAGGCCTTGAGCTACTTTGAGGAAACCAGATTAGCTGATGCACAGGTCACCTCTGTCCAGTTCAGTCTCAACAGAATGCAGGCACTGAGGCAAGCTAGACATAACATACGTAGTGTTGTGCATGCCACAGCTATCAGATACATATTCTGGTTGTGTGTGTGTGTGTGTGTGTGTGTGTGTGTGTGTGTGTGTGTGTGTGTCTGTGTGTCTGTGTGCGCGCGCCACTACTGGGGCTTGAATTCAGAGCTTGGGCACAGTCCCTTATATCTTTTGTTGAAGGCTGGCACTCTACCACTTGAGCCACAGCTTCACTTGCAGAAACTGTATTTCATGAAATACAGTCCTTGTGGACACGCTTAACACCTTTATGTAAAAAAAGATGTATGTGGTCACTTTTCCTTGTACCCTCCAATTAATGTAGCTTCCTCATATATATGTCATATAACATCACAAATTTTGTATATATTTATATTGCATTCATACATATATAATTCATATATATACATATATATATTTTCTCTTTAAACACAATGAAGATTTTTTTTCTCCAAACTTAAGTAAGAAATACTTCCAGCCTAATATACATGGAAGCCATTTCATCACAACATTAAGAATGTGGCATGAACATTGTAAATAGGCTTTGTGCACATTTCTGCATGTTCTTGTGTGTATTCCCGTCCACACAGTTCAGCATGTGACAGTAGGAATAATCAGATGAATTTTTATGCACTGTACATGAAAATCTGCCTTAATATTTTATAGCCATACCTTATGTTGTTGGAACTAATTCTTTAATGTGTATCTCACCTTTATTTTATTTCACAGTATTCAGCAAGCAGAAATGGGAGCTGCAATGGATGCACTTGAAAAATGTAAGCTGCTCTCTTTTTCTCTAATTATATGTTCATAATGTAAGGAGTGTTTTATAGCAAGAAAATGAGGCAGTGGAAAAATGGCAAGGGCTGATAAAATGTGATTTTGTTTTCCTTATAATTATTCTTCACACACAGAGTAGAGTAGAAGGTAAGGTATGTATAAAATGGACTCTCAACTTTTTAAAAAAAGCATTCTCAAGTGCATTTGATTTTCATTTTTCCTTTTGATCCAGAGACTTATGCCTCCTGGTAAACTGCAAACCACAGCGGGTATTTCCTTCCATGTATTTCCTTATAACTTCTAAGATCTTATACAGATACAGAAGTATATGTATGAATACTTCTTTCAGTTTAGATTTTGATCATTTTATGAAATTTAAAAGATATTTACATTTTAACATGTTTTATGTGCTAAGATATATTTTTCTTGCCCAATAGTATATCATAGGCAGACATGTAGGTCACAGAGAATGGCTCTAATTCATTCTCTTAATGGCTGCATACTATATCCTACTATAGATGTGCTCTTTTACACTCGTGGATATTTTGTGTATGCATATGTCTATGTGTGAGTCTATGGTTAGTTTTGAATAGTGGGAACTTTTAGAAATACATATTCAGTTTTACAGTAGAATTTACTGAAAACAAAGTTCACATGATAGAAACTTACAGTTTCTTAGAATTTGCTTGATTTCTTTTCTAAAATTGTAGTTATTTAAATCAGTGTAAATAAGTACTTTTACTGAAGGTTCACATGTCAGTTGTTGCATTTAAAACTAACTGGCTCTGGACTTACAAAGTCTTTTACTGATTCGCCACCTGTCTTTCAAGTGCTTTTTCTGGCCCTGGTCTTTCTCTGACCTGGGGTGAAGATGGAGCACTGCATAAACAAAGGCCAAAAAATAATTTAGGTAAATGCTATAAATAGATAGATATGCTTTCATTATGTTTTGCTCTTAAAATAGAAGCAAACTTTCGAGATTCTCCACAAATACCCTGCTCCCTCTCTGTGACTTGTCCTCTGTGAGATGGAGGAGTGCTGTGCCCAGGGCGGGGCCTCAGTCCTCAGCTGGCTAGGCAGAGCATCACTTCCTCGGGGTTATCATATCTCACGTGTTCTTTCTGATTTGTGGTGTGTGTGTGTGTGTGTGTGTGTCTGTGTGTGTGTGTGTCTGTGTGTGTCTGTGTGTTTCAGTGGCCGTTCTTTTTTTTTTAATTGTGAAAATACCGTACAGAGGAGTTACAATTACATGGGCAAGGTAATGAGTACATGTCTTATCAAGCATTGTTGCCTCCTCCTTTGTTTCCCCTTCCCATCTCCCCTCCTTCTCATCTACCTCCCTCCTCCCCCCGGCCAAAGTTGTGTTCGTTTTTCGACATAACATCTTGTACATCTCATTGATGCAATGGGTCCACCTGTATCCCTATTTAAACGATTTGTTTTTTCCCTTCCCCTCCACAAATTCTACCAACATCAAATACAGTGAAAACAGGGGTTATGCCGTGGGGGAGGGACATACAAAACAATAAAGAAATCATCTTATAAATATGTTAGAAACAATCGTAAGAAAGAAAGAACATTTGAGTCCTTATCTTGGGGTTCATTTCTCCTAACATCAACTTATCTGACCATTTCTGCTTGTCTCAGACATATACTAGTAATTGCAAATAAGGGAAACCATGGGACCTATGTTGCTTTGGGCCTGGTTTACTTTACTTAATATCATTTTTTCCAAGTCTTAACATTTTGGCCATTATTTTTGCTCTTAATTCATCGTGAGACTGAACTTGGACTGCAAATGACAACTGAATAGTACAATTTCTATATCTTATGTCAAAGACCAAACCTAAATATAGCTTAAACTCCCATTTGGTGATGCTTAATTAATTAATTAATTAATTACAAGAAAGAATGACTTAGCCTATAACTTCCTTTTTTTAAAAAAAAACACCTGATTATGTTGTTCTTTTCAGAAACTTTAATTTTTGGTAAATAAGGGTTTGGTAATACCACTTATTTGTTTGGAACTTTTGGTTTAACCCATTGTAATATATCCTTTATTCTCTCTTGAACATGGCATGTTACAGGAGGACTTTGTTGAAACACTTGGTTAAAAGCATTCCAAAACCACATGTCTGTCTTCTAACACTTTAATGGGGTTTTTGTTGTTATTGTCGGTCATGGTACTTAAACTCTAGGCCTGGGGGCTGTCCCTCAGCTCTTCAGCTCAAGGCTAGCACTCTACCACTTGAGCCACAGTGCCACTTCCAGTTTTTTCTGGTGGTTTATTGGAGATAAGGGTCTCTCGGACTTTCCTGCCCGGGGCTGGCTTTGAACCATGATCCTCAGTCTCCTGAGTAGCTAGGGTGACAGGGGTGAGCCACTGGTGGCCGGCCACTTCTATGTGTTTTGATGCCTTTTATACTCAACTTTGCACCAGACATTGATATTTAGTTGTCCATATAGACTTCCAGTACGTTTCCGAATGAGAGAGAATAGGAGAAGAAAGCAAAGTTCTCTTGTTTCCAACCTTACAGACCACAGCTGTGCGCATGTCATGTGGATGTACCAGTGCATGGGCATGTATAGTTTGTGTCATCTTCTGCACTAGAACCTATCCTTTATTAAGTATAAAATATATCTTCTTGTGACAGATAACTTTCCCCAGATGGCTCATCAGAAGCGGTTCATTGAACGGAAATACAGACAAGAGTTAAAAGAAATGAGGTGGGAAAGAGAGCACCAGGAGAGAGAACCAGATGAGACTGAAGACAGAAAGAAGTAAAGGAAGGCCGGACATGGTGGTGTGTTTACTTGCTTAGTAACTGTGACTGTTGCCTGTTGAGACCTAGCCTAGTTTTCCTTCAAACAATGAATGAAGTGTGACCATTGAAATAAAACATGAAGTCAAACATTGTGGTTGTTTTACCGATCAAATGTTCTGTTTTTAGCTGGATGGTTTTTATTACAATGCTTTGATTCTTCTCCTATTTAAATGTAGTAGGTGTTCATTATTCCTTTTTATTTTGCTCTTATAATAATAAAATCCATTAAAGCACATTCTGTGTGGTATAGATCCTGTTTTTTAATCTTGTGGCTTCAGACTTTCAGCGGACAAGGGACTGATTCACTTGGCCAGATATTTTGACTGTACTGTGGTAACAGCTGTATTTTTTGAAATCTCTGGGTTATTAACTAAAATTTTCAGCTTTCATCTGAATGTTTGCCAAGTTCTCAGCTACAAATATTGAATTACTCCACTCGAAGCAGTAAGTCCTTTGTAGAAAGATTATGTTTAATGTTTAACTGGCTAGTGGGATGGGGAAGGGACTTATATTTGAGTCTCACACTTTCTTTGAGTTGTTAAGAGTGGCTGAGAAATCCAGATTCTAGGGCAGACCACCATTTTAACAATTGTTCTCACTCTGGGGCCAGTGGCTCCCTGGCTAAATATCAGAACCTCCTGAGATTGGATTTAATTTGATGTGGGGTGGAGAGAGGGAGCAGGAAGAGGAGGGCTCATCAGTTCCACAGGCTTCTCTAGTTCTTGCATTAAAGGGCTAACATTTCATCATACTCATGGCATTTATGAAGAGAATACCACTGGTGTCTTGTGAAATAAAGGCAAAACTTCTTTGTAATACAAATGTGTTTTTATTTGTTCTTTTAGCAGATATTATATAGTGAGCATCCACAGTGTGTCAGGTATAGTTCCAGGCTCCTCAGTATAACAGTGAATAAAAGAATCTAAGCTCTCAACTCAGGGGGAGCCATCCTATTAAAATAGGCCACCCAATTAAAAAGGAAAGTCAGGAGCATGACATATCGGGGCGGTAGGGTGCAGCTTTCAGTGGGGTTGGAGAGTTAAGATGAAAAGGAAGATGAGGGCTGGGAAGGTGGCTCAGTGGTAGAGTGCTTGCCTTGCATGCCAGAGGCCCTGGGTTCGATTCCTTAGCACCACATAAGCAAAAAGAAAAAAGCCAGAAGTGGCGCTGTGGCTCAAGTGGTAGAGCGCTAGCCTTGAGCTGAAGAGCTGAGGGACAGCGCCCAGGTCCAGAGTTCAAGCCCCATGACTGGACCCAAAAAAAAAAAAAAAAGAAAAGGAAGACAAGAACAAGCCACTGTAGTATCTAGCAGTGTTTCTTATCTATATATCTATTGAATGTTACAGGTACATTATGTAAAATTGGAAAAGGTATTACTTAGCAGGAAAAGAAACCTTACTTTGCATTATACGCATATTGCTATTGAAATCTCTTTGTACAACTACTTAAAACAATAAAAAATATTCTTTGAAAAGAAAAATACTGTGAAAAAAAAGCATAAGCAGGAAAATAAATGGAATCCATGATTTAAATCATGCAGTCTATTAACATCTATTAATTGTATGAAATAACACCTTTCATAATGTCATGTACATATGCGATGCATTTTTGGTCATCTGCCCCCATTGCCCTTTCTTGCCCTCTCCCACTGGTCCAGCTCATCTTCTTAGTCTCCCTTCCACTGACAATTATTATATCCTGTCAGACTGGATATATATACACCCAAGTATTTAGCATTGGGATGCCACAATACGCTTCATATATTTTCTTTTTCATTAACTAATGGGTCTTGTATGCCTTTCAGTTGAATCCATATTTACATAATGTAATTGTTGATGGCTGCATACTAATGTATAGCCTACATGCCAATTATGGATATACCATCATTCATTAAGCAATCTAATAGAGGGTGTGTAGACTGCAAGCAATTTGTGGCTGCCACACACATCTTTGCTCGCCTCCACAGGAGGGGGTTGGGGAGGGAAAGAGGTAGAGACTGAGAAGAGAGAACCAGTTGTTTCTGGCACATTTCCTACTCTATTGGAGATCATTGTCAACATTTAAATTCTAAAATGCCAGATAACAGAACTGAAAGAGGAAGACTGCTAGATCATAGATGGCCTTGACAATGTTACAAGCAAAAACAAAAAAGCAAGAGGAAATATATATATTTTTTAACAGGCATTTTTACTAATCTTGAATGTTGTATCAGAATACAGGAATTTGTAGTAGACCTTGATTTTTCCTTTGTAGCACCTTGGCCCTTTTCAGCTTCTTTCCAAATTAATGGCTCTTGAAGCCTGGAGAAGTACATCCATGAAACACTAACATAGCTAAGTGCTGGTGGCTCACACTTGTAATCCTAGCTCCTCAGGAGGCTGAGATCTGAGGATTGTGAGCCAGCCCTGGCAGGAAAGTCTGTAAGGCTCTTATCTCCAGTTAATCACAGCAAAAGCTGAAAGTGACACTGTGGCTCAAGTGGTAGAGTGCTAGCCTTGAGCAAAAGGAGCTCAGGACAGCACTGAGGCTCAAGAGTTCAAGCCCCAGGACCAGCAAAAAAACAAAACCCACTATAACAGCTCTCAGAGGGTAACCGGCCAGACATACCAGCAGGGCAAGTTAACTTAGTGGCCTGTGGAGCATTGATGAGGAGAGTAACTGAATTCTACAGCTAGCCGCACAGAGCCACTGTAACCACAGAATCCAGCTGTGCTTCCCACCTACCCAGGCTTCTAGTTTTGATATAGCAAAGAACAAGAGAGTAAGTCCATATGCGTAACTCCTCTTCATGTAAGTACTGTTGGTCTTTGAGGCCTAGTAGGCAAGTTTCTACTCATGAGTCACTTGACTGTTGAGCATTAAAGGAGGCTATGTGTGTGAGACTGGAGGAGGGGAGTCCAGGTCAGGCAGGGAAGGCTCTCTCAGGAGGTCATGATTGAATGGATTGGACTGCGATGATGAGCAGTAGCCTACAAGGCACCTGGATTTATGTAAGTGAGAAACATGTCTCTGTCTTAAATGTGTAGCTTGTCTGTTACAGCGTCTAGCTCTGACTTAACTAATGCAGCTGTTCGAGACAGGCACTTAACCATAATTAAATGCTTGTTTTTAGATTAAAAGTGACAAAAATAAAAGCTGGATGAAAACTTGTTCCTCTATTACTGAATGCTGTACCTGTGCTGATGCATTCCATAAGTAACATGTTGACTTAGGGCTCAGAAATGTCCCTCCATTTAGATTAAATGAAATTTGAAAATATGACAACCACAAACAGATTCCTAATTAAGAATCAGATGTAATGAGAACATGCTACGTTCAGAGGTTTATTGTATTCATGTTGATAGTGTCTGCTCTGCCCTGGGTGTGGGAAATGTGGCTTTGTCTAAGTACAGCCCTTGTTTCCAGGAGCTTACTGTTTCAAGAATGTGTCAGGTTCCATGCAGAGGTCTAGCAGGGAGAGAGTAACTGGCTTCTTCCAGCGGGTAGGGTTCAGTCTGCTCTTGAGGGGTGACCTAGTCCATTGATGTGTGGACTACATTGTCATACTTCCCTAGGGAAGGGCCTCTTATCAAGTCAGATTTTTTGTTTTTATTCACAATACCATTATGAGACTGCAGAATGACTCAAAGACCTTTCTTGTAATGACCAGTCCATTTACAAATATACAGTTGATTTTGTTCAAATGATTCCAGTAGAGTCCGCACACTTGGTTTTTATGACTTCGGTCATTTTTTTATTTTTATTTTTTTTTACCTAGAAAAAGTCCTCTGTTGCCCTCTTCACATCAGTTGAAGACACTGGGTCGGTTCTATAGAATTCATGCAGTCCAGATGTGGTGTGCTGCTCTCCTGGGGTTTCCTTTCCCTTTATCCTCTGGATTAGCTCTAAAACCTTGATTTTAGGCTTAGGTTCAGAATTTGTGTATTATTTGAATGTGTGTTTAAGCAATACCCCTACCTCATTCCCCCACCCCCACTGTTGCTTCAATAGTACCACTTTACCAATTCTTAGTAATTTAGTTAATTTTGTGTCTACTTGGCCAAGGCTATTGATGTTTTAAGGGGCTAAGCTGTGGGAATTTGATACAGAAAAACTAATACACTGTTTGGTACAGAAAACTAACACACTTTTTTCTGAACAGCTAATCTTGTCTTCTAATGTTTGAATATCTCACGTCTCCTGTAGCCTGAAGAATAAAGCCCAAGCTTCTTAGAATGACATGAGATCTCTTCTGTCCACCTCAGCCTCATCTCCTTGCAAGCTGTCCAGCTTACAGAGCTATCTGCAGGTGCTTAAGTACATGCACTTACTTACATGCACCAGGGCTTTGCACCACCTCCTTACTATTCATTTCTTATCCTTTTAGTCTTTACTCTGGTACTATCTCCAGCAAGCGGTGCCTTGAGTCTTCAATTTTAAGTAGACGATTCTTGGGTTCTTTCCCATGTCACACTGTATTTTCACTACCTCTTGACTTACTCACCTTTCCCCACCAGCCTGCGAGCTCTGAGTAGACAGAACCATCGCTCTTCATCTTGAAAATGGGCTGGAAGCACACATGATGAATTTTCACCAGTTCTCCATTACTGTTTGAGGAATAAAAAACAACTGGGCTTCTTTTTGCAATTCTTCTACAAGACTCAACCCCCTCAAAGCAACTCCAGTCTCTCCTGTAAGCCATAATCCTGCAGAACTGAGGCTAGTGCAATGAGATTGGTCCTTTGGAGATGGCTGGGGCGTGCCCATCTTCTCTGGATCTGCACTGGGATTTGGGGAGGAGCTAAAAGCTAAAACAGGGTAACAGGAGCCCAGTACAATCAGTGGGAAGCAAAGAGTTTGTCTTCTCATCTCGACTTTGGCTTTTCTACTTTTCCAAGGCAAGGAGCTTCCATAAAATAGACAAGTCAGACAAATGAGCTCCAGAGCAATATATAAGAGGATTTAGAGCCACAGAAACCAGAGTAAAGAAAGTTTAGTTACTGGTGACAGCACTAACTGGAGGCTTGGGATTTCCCTTCCCCCGTCATCTCCAGCAGCAGCACTGATGCCAATATTCTTTGCTAGGGACACATTATGTTTATCTTATGT